TGCATGACTGTTTTAGGTAACCTGTCTCTGAAGAACTGAGGAACATTGATTTGGGTATTTATCACGCAGCTCTACCTGACAGCAATACTATCCAGCATCGTTTACTGGAGGTTTCCCATTCACATCAAAAGTTAAGTTTCCCAGAGCCTGTGACTCTTTGCAGCTGATGACATTCAGCAAGGTGATGTGTTTATGTCTGCATTTAACAAGTCCTTCAGCAGAGGTGCTCCTCACTGTCACACTGTGCATCAAACAATGTCAATGATTCTGGGTGAGCTACTCGGTCTCTCTCTTACTGCTCTAATAGCTGTCACCTGCATGCACGAGCTGGGTAAAAGTGAGATCTTTGATGTACATTGCAGATATGAAATAATAATGTGCACTAATATCTACATATGGTTTCTACTGAAAAGTTTAAAAAGTCATTTGTTACTGTGATACTCAAGTATACTCCTCTTTGATGCAAGAACCTTATTATCTAGTGGTTTCAACCGCTGGAACCACACATCTCTCCACGTTGCTCAGCACAAAATTCACTTACAGATGTTACTGAGTATTTTGTTATAGGACAACATAGTAAGGCTTTGATCAGGTAAGATGCTTAAGCAGTAAGTTTAAGCACACAAGTAATCCCAGTGAAGTCCCAAGGATCCATGCACGTGCTTAAACCTGTGCTCTCTTTGGCAGATGAAAACTTTAAATAATCAGGCTACAGTTTGTAACCCAAACCCTTCTGTACAGATGAACAAGGCAACTCAAAATATATGTTAAAAAAAGAAAAGTAAGAATACAGTAGAAGGCTGGAAAAAATATTCTTGTTTGCAGTTAATGGGGAAACAGAATCTTTAAAAAAAATAATAATAATACTAAAAAAGACAGTAGAGGAAAAAAAAGAAACTGATGCGCATTCCAGTTTTATGTTGCCACTCCTGATAAAGACATCGAGTGCCACGCTGAGAAAGGAGAAATAGAAACAGAGACTGGTATTGCTTCGTTCTCACATCCTTTGCAAAAACATGATAAAAAAATTCCGACACATCTTATGTATCAGCATCTGGCTAGCAGATATAGACATCTGTCTACATTGCTGGCAAATTTCTCAAGCCTTTTCAAGTCTCAAAAATTAGAGAAGAGACTCGTGAATTTGCTACACCAAAGGGACTGCAGCCCTTCGGTACGTACTGGCCAATAAAACATGGTGAGGAATGAGAGAATGTCCATGCACGAAGTTTACAAAGATCTCCCCTTCAAAGTTAATATCCCAGCAGCTAGTGTTTTTCTTTCATGGGGAAGATGAATGCAACAGGTGTAAAACAAAATAGGCTTCTGATATGAAAAACAAATCAGAGCAAATGAGCTGCACTGAATTTGGGAATTGCTGGTATCTGTGTATAAAGGATGAGATTCATAGTCTTGCCATACCGCTTGACAAAGAGGAAAATAGTCCCCCTAGTGTACTCTTCATGCAGAAAAGTCTGTTTCACAAGATAGTGCTACAAGAAATTACAAAATAACATTCCGGGAAGAGATATGGAACTACTTAAGCTATAGAGAAACCGGGCACCTCTACTGTACACACGGACACAAGGGTGTTTCAGTTTTCTATTTCAGGATCGTTAAGTGGAGTGCTGCACCCTAAATATTTGAAGGGTAGAACTTGCTTTTTAAGTCAGCACACTAGTTTTGTGACTGCAGGATATCGATAGGGTAACAGATACCTGAATTTGGAAAGACAGATAGAGCTGGTCATGGAGGAGCTCTGTTGAAGTAAGTTCCGGGAACAGTCACCTGGCATAGTGCATTTCACAAGGGTGAAACCAGCTCACCCTCAGATCTTTTCCCCACTCCACTGTTCATAAATACAAACACTGACCCTCCCAAAGTATTCAAGACGGAAGCTGATATTGAAACACGCATCAAAACCCTCTACAGTGGTTTGGAAGTGTACGGGATTCTACCAAACCAGGCTACCCTTGGTACACAACGATGTCCAGAGCATGCCAGCTCTACAGCGATGCACCATAAACTACTGCCCTAGTTAGCTGTCAGGCACTATTAGGTTAACCAATGTCCCACTGGGGCCACGGGGAGGGGTGAGCAAAGAAGATTGTTGGGGGGGGTGTATTGGGCAAACCTTATCTGAATTAGCGGAAACGTAATNAAAAAAAAAAAAAAAAAAAAAAAAAAAAAAAAAAAAAAAAAAAAAAAGTGATAGTTGTAACTTTCATTTATAGCTCTTAAAATAATTGTTTTGAGGAATATAATCTCAGTTATGTTTACGGATTATGGCATTCAGTACATCTCACTGAAAACAGTATTAGTATTTCATATATAATAATATGTAAGATAATAAGACCAAGTTCTCTTCTTCTCTTTGTTTATAATAACAGTTTTCCCACTCAGTGCCAAAGCAGAATATCATTAAATAGGCTTGCTGCCTTCAACAACGAACTTAGCTGTGTAAAAATATTCTAAATTAGGACCAAAAAAAAAAAAAAAAGACTTCTAATACAGAACTATCTTCTGTTCATTTAAAGTCTCGGTGTAACTAGCAACCTGAAAAGTCTAATGTGAAAAGCTGACATTGGTCCCTGAAAAGCTGTATTCATTACCTGTAAGGGAAACAAAGATGATAATAACATATAATGTGTTTTAGCATCAGGAGACTAAGATGGAGTCTCTATTTAAGAGTGTTGCCTCTGCACAAACTAATCTGCGTTCCAGCCTAGAAGCTGAAATACTCCTCTTTTGAATGTATATGCATACTTTAAAAGAAACTCTACCACTGCCAAGGAATTAAATTTTGCAGTTTTTGATGCCTGGCAAATTATTAGCTCCTGACCTTCCCTTTGCCCCTTCCAGTATGCCCCTACCACGCACGCACAACTGCACCCACCATTAACACGATCCAGCACTTTACCCTAACTTCCAGAAACAGTTCGCAGTCATTAAGAGGCAGAATTTTCTGCTACCAGTCTGCTTGCATCTCCTGAGAAAGGTCATCCTAAAGGCTTGTGAGAAACTTCTGAACTAAATTATATCAGAAGAATCTCAAGGGATCCAAGTTTTTAACATTTTAATTAGCTCCAAGTACCAGTTAATGCTGCTCAGCAAAGGAATCAATATCAAATTAACAGTATAAATTGTCAGAAAAATTGTGACTGTATTAAGGATACTAATCAATGTAAGCACTTCACATTATGGCCCAGATCCTGCTTCTGCTTAAGTGAAAGGGAGTTTTGCCACCAAATTCAGAAGAAACAGTGTCAGCCCCATTGTTCAATGTCTCCATTTGAATTGGGGATCAAAAATTTACTGAAAACTCAAAGTACCAGATAAAAAGGCTGGATTTGTCATAGCATCTGACATCTAAAGCCACTGCTTCTGCGTGAAACCAAACAACTTACGAAGGCACGAGCTGTCTTTGGAAGATGTAACCCTTTATCACACTCCATGTTGCACTTGTAAAGTCAGATCAAAATCCAACACCTAATACAGACGCAAAAGCTGCAAAAAGGATCTGTGGTTTTAAAAGCCTTGTCTTGAACCAGCAACCGCACGGATAAACTTTGTGTTTATCTTTTCCCCACCCTGAGACAAGTCTGTCAGTGAAATGCTTCCTTTACCGTGCCTCATTTGGCAGGTAAAAATCATACAGCTTCACTTCAATTCTTAACAGCAAGTCCTACTCAGGCACCAAATACGAGACAGGGCTCCTAGTACAGAACCTGCTTGAAATGTTTTATCTATACAGTATTTCTGACCAATTTCAATACTGTAAGTTATCACATGATCTAGAGCTAGAGAGATTCAAAATTGATTTCTCTGTAAAACAATAGAAGTTCCTGGCAAATTTGCCTTCAGCCATCCATTCAAAAACTCGGTGTCAGATGCTGCCAGTATCGGTCCTCAGCAGCAACTGAACCATACCGGGATTTCCTTCTGCAAACAGTATCGACATCAAGCAGCACCTGCATTTCTGTAGAGCTGCAAGTACGTGACATTTCAGCGTCCAACAGACACTAGTAGATGGACATGGTAAAGGAGGAGAGAAAAAAAGCAGTTCAGGAAATCACTTCAATGTGCTTTACGTGCAGCACCAGCTTCTGGTAGGCCTTATTAGACTTTGTCTTGAGGGTAAAACCTTGTCTGCCTGCAACGTGCTTTTGCACGCGCTGAGTAAACAAGCCACAAAAACAGATTATTTTTTTTTTCCTCACTTATTAAAACGGCATAATCTTAGCTGCTCACTGTCGCAGTGCTGGACAGAAAATGCTGGACTATCAGTAGACGGTGCCCTCATAACGCTGGCACTGCAGGATTCGCAAACCAAGCATTCCTGTGGCTGAACAGCAAATAACTCCAAGCTTTGATTAACTTTATGAAGAAATGTCAAGACCCGAATTTCCCTCTATTGCCTTTGAGGAACGCGTGGGGAAACCACTGGGGTTTTTCTTGACAAAAATAACAGAGTCGTTCTGTATTTGAGCTTTTGAAACCCAGACTGACCATGCATAAAAGTAACTCTGCTTATTTCCAAAATGAGTTACCAAACGTAAATTTAAAAAAAAAAAAAAAAAAAAAAAAAAAAAAAAAAAAAAAAAAAAAAAAAAAAAAAAAAAAAAAAAAAAAAAAAAAAAAAAGGCAGAAAACACTCACACCTTAAAAATATTTTTTCCCCTCTCTCCTTCTCTTCCTCTGCTTATGTACTTGTGCACCAGAGACGCCAGCTCCGTTCCAGCGTCTCCCCAGCCCCTCGAGTCAGGAGCCCTCACCGATTGCATATAGCAACAGGAAAGAGACAAAACTTTTCGTACCCCCTCCCTTAAATAAAGCAAAGGCGACAGGGCGACCACCAGCAGCAGGGCCAGCACCAGCGCCTGGTCGGCTGCCGTCGGGGACAGCCCTCCGACACCCCGCTCCGCTCCGCATCCTCCGCGGGCAGCACGCCCGTCGGGGCGGCGCGGCGAGTCCGCCGCGGCCCCGGGATCCCGCCTCACCTTCCAGCCGGCCGAGCTGTTGCTGTCGCCCTTGTCCTTGAAGTAGGGCACGCAGCGGACCATCCAGTCGTAGATCTGGGAGAGGGTGAGGCGCTTCTCCGGGGAGCTCTCGATGGCACGGGTGATGAGGTCGGCGTAGGAGAGGTTGCCCCACGCGTTGCGCCGCGACGAGCACTTCCTCGGCGCCGCCGCCGGGCCCCCGCTCAGCCCCCCGCCGCCCGCCGCCGCCGCTCCCCCCGGCGAGAGGCTCGGCCCCTCCGGGCCGACTCCGGGCAGCGGGGCCAGCAGCCGCGCTGCCTCCTCCGGCACGGCGGAGGCTGCCGCCGTCGCTTCTCCGCCCGCCAGGGCCGCGCTGCCGACGGTCATGGCCGAGCCGCCCCCCTCCTCCTCGTCGTCCTCCTCCTCGGGGATCATGGAGGCGGCGTCGGCGGTCGGCTCGCCGGCGGGCTTGGCTGGGCTGGCCTGCAGCTCGGGCCTCTGCAGGGGCCAGGTACAGGAGCGCGGGCGGCTCTGCGGCTCGAACTCGGGGTCCAGCTCCACGTCCAGGGGCGAAAGCGGGGCGGGGGGCGACGCCTCTGCCATCTTGGCCTCCCCCGCGGGCGGCTGCGGGGCGCTGCGACGGGGCGGGCGGGCGGCCGCCGACCCCGCTCCTCCTCCGCCGCCTCCTCGGTGCCGACGAGAGCCTAGCAGGCGGAGGACCGCCGGGCCGGCATGCCGCGCTCCGCTAAGGGCTGGCCGGCTCTCCGCTGCGCCCCGAGCCCCGCTCCCCGCAGGCGATGCGCACGCCGGAGCTGCGAGCGGGGAGAGAAAAGGGGAGGGAGAGATAAAAAAAAAAAAAAATCAGATTAGAAGCCGGAGCAGCCGCGCAGGGCGGGCAGCGCGGGCCGGGCGGTGCCGGAGGTGCCCGCGGCGCTGCCCTCCGCGCCGGCGGAGCGGCGGCCGCTCCCGCGGTGCGTGTGTGCGTTTGTTTATGTTTCACTCCATGCGGATGCAGAAGTAGCTCCAGCAGGACCGCGCTGTATCCAGCCGGGAGAGGACCCCCCCACGCCCCCGAGATCGCTCCCCGTCGCTTCCGCAGATATCTTGCCTTTTGGGGGGGTGGTCCTTTGCGCCCTCCCTCGGCAGGAGGGCAGGGAGAGGGGTCCTTTGGATTACGCCGAAGACTTTTTCCTTCTTCAGAACGCCCTAAAGGGAGCCGAAGTCTTAGTATACATCCCACTGCACACTAGCGTAAGCCTGTCACTTTGCGGTGCCCCAAACCACACGCAAGCAAACCCCCAAAAATCTCTCAGTCGACGGAGCAGGGGGCAGGAGAAGGCCACCCTGGGGGCTGGTCGGTTAAAAAAAAAAATAATAATAAATCCTTCTTCTCGCAGGAAAAAAAAGCAAACACAACGGGAACAAATCAAATCGCCAGTCTTCCAACAGGTCCAGAAGCTTTAAGCCCTCCCTAGGGCTGCCAAAGAGAATAGGTTTTGTTCCAGCATCAACACCACATTCATAACCTCCTTGCTCCTGCTGCTGCCATCTTGACAGTTTTTCCCCCCTTCACTTAAGTCATTTAAAAAGCGCAGGCAGACAAGGCAGGGAAAGCCACATCGGGAGGGGCGGGAGGCGGCGGGGGGTGCTGGATCGACAGCCACCTCCACACAGGCAGCAATCGAGATCCGAATTCACGGGAGGAAGAAGCAGTGCTGCTGCATGGTTCCTGCTCCTCCTGCTCCTGCGCCTTCAGCTTCGAAGAGCCTTCCCTTTAAAGGCGAAGGAAGGGAAAACGGCACAGCGCCCGCTCCCCCTGCGAGCAGCCGGCGAGAGGCAAGCGATCCGCCCGCGCCCAGCCCGTCCGCCGCAGCCCGCCTGAGCAGCCTGTCACCCTGCTCACCGCCGACTTCCACATCCCTCCTCCTAACAACCACCGGCAGCAACACAAAGTTATAGACACACGCAGGGGGCCTCAACCAAACCGCACCGCACGACACGGCCCGCCCATGGGCGGGCGGGGGGCGGGCGGCACCGCGCAGGAGCCGCCCCCATCGGGGCGGGAGCGCCGGGATGGGGGGAGCCGGCGGGGCTGGGCGGGCTGGAGGAGCTGCCGGGACGCGGGGAGGGCAATGCTCGGCTGCTCGCCGTCCCTGCGGCTCCGGAGCCGCGTCTCGGCCGCGCCGCCCGGGTGGTGGGAAGGCGGCGGTGGGAAGCGCTCAAGGTTCTCCGAGCAAAGTTTTTTTAAGGATTGCACTACTCCTGTTTCGTTTCTGACTTGTATTTGTCGTAAATTGTTGGTGTACGAGTTATTCTGGTGAACTTCAAAATTTAGAGTATAATTTCGCAATTTTTTGAAAACTTTAATTCTGCCCGTAGGTGATGCCGGGAGCATGTTCAGACATGTCTACACATAATTCCCCTGTACCTCCTCCTCAGAGGCCGTGCCCTAGCAGAAAGCCCTCCAAAGTAGCTCACTCAGAGACATAGTTAATTATGGGTTGAATAAAGGGGTGACCCACAAAGACATGGAACATAAAGCTATTAATACAGATGTAGCTATAAATACATTGTATTGCAACGTATATGCATCAGTCCTCACCCAGCTTGGTATCGACCGAGAGTGTGGACTAGGTTTAGTCCAACAGTAGTGTTGTCTCTGATATGAGAGATGGACAACCGCATGCTTGAGAAACAGGTGTGCTTCTGAAACACTGCTGGATAGAATTAGCGGGCAAATTAAATTGTTCCTGGTGTATTTAGCATTATAGACAAGCAGGGAGATTTGAAAACCTTTCAGTTTGACTAGAAAACAGCAAGGCCATGATCCTGCATGCCTTAAAGGTCCTGCTAAGTAAGGCCTAAGGCTCTCAGGGTCTAGTTAGGTTTTGAATTCAAGTGACACAAGTTAGGAATAGTTTGGCCTGATTTTGTTACAAGGGACAGCATTTCGGCATGCATACAATTAATCCTCCATTATCTAAATATAGTAAGAGACACTGAATTAATCAGAATGAACGCAGATTCAAGTAATGGAAATAATTTTCACTGCAACTCCATTTTGGGTCACAGTGTTGTGCCCTGCCACAGCTTTTGTTGTAATGTGGCCTCTTATGGGAACGCAAGGCAGCTCAAAAAGACACCAGCCACTCTGCAACTGTGACACTGACATTGGCATGTACGATTTAGCAGTTGGTAGGGAGAAAAACCGCAGTAGCATTGAAGAGCCAGGAACCAAGATCAGATGAGAAGGCACACTGAGAAGACACTTAGTCCAATACCACATCTCCGAAGAGCCTCTCCTTGTGGCTTTCAGCAGTTAGCCAGAGGTCAGCTGCAGAACTGTGACTGACGCTCCGCCCTTTCCCAAAACTTGCTACTGCTTGGGGCTGATTTTGACCAGTGCAAAAACCTCCCCATGGAGCACTTCCTTACGTCCCGAGGTTCCAGGGAAGCCTAGCACTTTGACCATGGGCTGGATTAGAAGCTGCAAATCTAGTCCTAAATGATATTATCAACTTCATTTATTTATTTAATTGGCATTGCATTACTCTACAGGCATTGCTATTAGGTCTCATTGTACAGGGTGAAGGCCCCGCACGTGGGTAAGAAATGCTCCACTCCCTGGCAGAATTGCAGTCTAAGTAAGGCAGGCCAGGGCGGGAGAAAGGAAATAAGTAAGTAGTAACCCTATTAAAGAGATGGTGGACTGAGGCACTGAGCAATTACATGACTGTACTGAGGTCATACAGGAAGCCCGTGTCAGAACTGAGAAATAAAACTGGATTGTCCGAGTACCAGCCTTGGGCCTTTACTGCAAGATTATCTGCCCTCTTCAGAATTCACTGGCACATCAGTCACACAACCTTTATCACATGTCATGGTACCAGTTCCTCATAGCTCGTTGCAGCACGTGTGTGCCCATAACACTGCAGTTCAGAGGTGTAATTAAAACCACGGTATGTTTTTTCCTACACATTTTACTTACAAAAAGTGTGTAAGCAAAACAGAAAGACACAGAATCTCCTCTTATTGTCATTCCACAGCTGGACCCACTGAAATAAATATAAAAAGTGATCAAAATTGAATCTAAAGCCTGCACAATTTTCAATCTCTTCAAGTAATTTAATGCCCCAAGGGTGAGATTTTCAAAAAGGCTCCATTTATGGGAGTTTTATCGCTGACTTCAACAGGAATAAAGTTAGGCCAGCCCTCAGGCCATTTGAAAACCATGCTCACTTACTGTGCCTACTTAGTCTGCGAGTGTTTTAGGGCAGCGCTGCGTCTTCCCCTGCATCTCCTTTTATCTACTGTCGCCACTCAAGTTGATGTTGGGAACATGTGTGCCTATCACGGTATCTGATTGCATGGATCTGGCAGGGTCACGGTCACGTTGCAGCTAGAGGAGCTAGATAAGTGCAGGTGACATTTCTGGCTTCACCTCTTTCTTACACAAATATCTGACCGCAGATAAGCTTACTTCAGGCTGGAGCTGCAGTTGAATAGATGGTAGGAGACTTGGAACTTTTTTGCCATTACGTTGTTATAGAAATCTACTGTAAAGTTTAGTGTTGCTCAATAAACTGATGTTATATTGCAGTTATGTTAAACAACAGCTGCATTGTCTACATGGACCTCACACAAACAAGTATATGACAGGTTGTTTTGTAAGGCACCTGCAGCCTGGTCTCTGAGAAGTTCGTGTTCCCTGTGATAACCCTGTCTACCCTTCCCACCCACTCCGTGAGAAAGCAGCTCCCTCAGTGTATTTTTTATTCTTCCCGCAGTTCCCTACTATGCCCTTTAAACACAGACTGGGCAAAGGGCAATAGGTTTTGTGGCTGATTCAGAGCAACCTGTGTGCTGATTAGAAAGAAATGTCATCTATAAACCAGCCAGCTTCATACCCTGAGACTTTAACCTTTCTACCCAATTTGGCTAAAACTGGCTTGTTGGATCCACAGTTGTTACGGAAAGATTGGCAGAATGGCAGATACAGAGCAAGGGTCTAAACTGTGCCATGGAAACATGAAGGTTTTGCCAAAGATGGCTACAGAGTTCTGACTATAAAATTTTCCTCAAAGTCATGAACAGCAACTTGAAGATCACTTGAAGTTGGACTTCAGCCTGTGAACTGGCTGACTCACCACCATAACAGAGGGGAGAGGAAGGAAAAAAAGTGCAAATACTCACAGGTACATGCAATTCTTGAGTTTATATCATAATTCTTGAATACTCGGGGGTACTTGCAATTATTGAGTTTATAATCTTAGGGTGAAGTCAAACTGATGAGATTCAGCGAGAACTTCACTTTTTTTTTAAACGATTTTTTTTTCTAATTCATCTTGGGCCACATATATGAAAGGATTTTGATTTTACGTATTTAGTCATCTTCCCTTGCCTCCTGCCTCATCAGGACACCTCCACGGACCCGTGAAGACGGGTAGACGGACCGACGGACAGCCCTCTTCCTTAGCTTGGGCTGGTCCGAAGTGGCCAAACTACCCCACCACCAACTCGCTGAGCAACCCGGCCACATCCACTTAAAGCCGCCTCGGTTACCTCACGCGGGCTCAATTATGCCCACTTATCTGTTAATTGCTCCGTCATTATAACCTAACACCTTCCTCCGCCCACACGGCGCGGGGCGGGCGGAGCGGCCGCCCCGGCCCCGCCCTCCGCCCCGCCCTCCGCCCCGGCCCCGCCCTCCGCCCCGGCCCCGCCCCCGGCGGCGGCCCCGCCCCCACCAAGCTAGGCTGCGCCGCGCGAACCGAATGATGTCATGCTCCGGGGCCGCGCGTGACCGCCGCGGCCCGCCCTCGCCGCCCATTGGCCGGCGCCCGTGGCCCGTCAGGGCAGCGCCGCCCCCCATTGGCCCGCGCCGCCGCCCCGCGCCACCTCATAAACAATCGAGTGGAACGCGGTGGGGGCGCCTCGGGAGTTGCCCCTTTGGCGTTGGGGGGGGGGGGGACGGGACGGGGGGGACGGGACTGCGTGGCCGCGCTGGGAGAAAAGCCTTTCCTGAACGGGCTGTGGCGCTCGCACGGGAAATTGCCTTCGGCCGGAGGGTACTGCTGCACCGAGGACCGAGCCGAGCCGTCTCTCGGTTTTTCCCCGACCCTCTCGTCTCAGAGCTAAGTTTTGCCAGGCTGCAAGTGCCCTCCGGACCTGGGCTGCGAGGCAGTGCAGATCTGTGTGTGGAGTGAGGGAAGGGCCTGGGCGGGAACGCGTCTGGCAGCCAGGTGTGCCACTCCAGTGTGCCAAGTGCCCAGCGGCAGGGCAGCGATAGGGAGACCTGGAAGCTGCACCTCTGAAACCGTGTCGGTGTTGGTTGTCTTCAGGAGACAAAAAACGTCCCAGAGGTGGCTGTCCTGTCCATGTGGTGCTATGCAGAGAGATGCAGCCTCGGTCCTTGCTTCGATGCAGTGGTTCTCACACAGCACAGCCCTAAAATAACCACCTTTCCCAGCCCTGCTTCCCTCTACCTGCGAACACGAGGCACACTTGTACAGCAGAGGATTTAATCGGGGATCCAGATGATGAGAACCAGGGCTGCGGGAAAGGATCTACCTTTGCTGAGGCTGGCAGCCTGGCCTGTCCTTTGGAGAGCAGGTGCCCACATACGGCCTATTTCACTTCCTTCAAAGAATTAATTATTTTCTCCCGTTCGTGGCCCCTGGAGGAAGAAGTCTAAGCACCTCCCTCACAGTCATCCTGTATTTCCAGTGATCGAAGCTCTTGTTCTGGAGCTATGGGTCCTTGTCCTTTTCCCAGAACTTTGTGTTTTGTTCTCTGACAGGTATTTAATGTAAAGTACACAGACACACTTTGAAAAGGAGACTGAAATCCAAGGCTATTCCCCTCCCTTCCCCATGGCAATGTTATTATTGCTAGGTCATGGCCTCTCCTTGATTGCTCCCGTGAATCCTGAATCCCCACCCTCTCCCCTAGGCAGCAGTACGGGTTCAACAGGCTGGTTGAAAATGGAGTGCGTGTTAGGCTAGCCTACCTCCCTGGTAAGATATTCTTCTGGAAGGTCAGAGGGAGGCATCTGAACCCTATCAAGCAGAACGAGGAGAAGCTGACCTTGTTTCTCCTGGCGTGGGGGGCACTGCAAGGCACACAGGGGGAAGGAAGTGTCCCCCACGGGAATTGAGAAAGGGTTCAGAGGGGCTGGTGAAGTGTTAAGCAAAAGCAGTCAGCGGCTTAGCACATGGTGGGGAAGTCGATTATAAGCACTTGCAGCTGGTTCTCTCTCTCTCACACCCTGGAGGAACTGGGTGTCTGCTGACTCAGGAGCTGCATCAAGTCAGAGGAATGGGAAGGGGGTCATATTTCTTGAGTGCCTGTGGCACGCTGCAGAGCGATGGGATAGCGACGGGCACCTCCTACTTGCTGTCCCGTCTTGGAAGAGTGATCACAGCAGCGTGCTGTGAGAAGCTGGAGCCCGTTGGTATGTGCTGGATGTGCTCTGGGAAGGCTGTGCAGCCGAGACCGTGGGTCTCGTTTTGCATGGAAACGTGTCTGAGCTCTGAATTCCAGCACTGGGCCGGGGGGAAAACAGGCACAGAGCTGCCCAGCGAGGGGTGGTTCTGGGTATGTGAAAGGCAGAATGTCCCGTATATTGGGATGCTAAAAATAGTACTCTAGAGCCTCCAGTATTAGACATCAGTTGAGCAGGGGCTGTCGGGAGGGCAGTTATGAACTTTAATGCCTCTGTTCTGCCCCAGCCCTGCTTCTGGTATTAAAGACATTACGTTCCTTGCTGCTCATGTGAATGTCACTTAAACGTGCTCAGGGCAGGCAGTTATACCAAACTGCCCTACAAACTCCTCCTGGAATCCTGAAAGTTGAATTCTTCCATTCACACGCGCCCTTGCCTGGCTTGCAAAACCATTCCCTTCGGTATAGCAAACTGCTCTGTTAAAGCTGTGCACCTGGAGTCGTTTACTGCCAGTTTACCTGTGGAGAGGCAATGATACCAAGACTGAGACCTGATTTTATTTTTTTATTTATTTTTTGGGGATAACATTTAAGTGAGAACATGTAATTGAATACATGCTGAGAACTGATCTGCTGAAGAGCCTGCTGATTCTAAATACAGAAGCAACTCTTCATAATAGGCATGTTTAGATTAAAATATATCAAGGTAGAGATATTATAAGCCTTGTTTAACCCAAATGGATTTTTTCGTTGGAAGTAAACAGGGAAAACTGGGGAGAAACTGTCACGGAGGTCTGACAGATGTTCAAGTACGTGAAGCTTAAAGAGGAACGTGTGCTATTCAGTTTGCTCACAGAGGCTTTGTGACCTGTGTCTTTGCAGTAATGATGACACAAGCTTTTTTGAATAAAAGAAAGAAATTAACTGCCTTGGCTAATTGTACTCTTGGTAGCTAGCTAACCAAGGACGCCATTTGACTGTGAAAATTGTTGGTGCACCCAAATCCCTCAGCTGGGGAGAATATCTGAAGTGAGAGTGTTCCCATATATGTGGGTCAGAAGGGCTATTTAAAAATCTTCCTAATTGGAAAATTAACCGCTATTACTTTAAAACAGTCGTGCAGTGCTTTGAAAAATTAACACCATATGGAGTCATTTATTACTTTTCAATATGTATTCAGTCTCTGTACAACTTTATGTACTCGCTAATGCATAAAGTCTTTTGGAGCAGGAATAAGGCACCACAAAGCGTGATTTAATGCTATAGAGTCGGCAAATCTGTTTCAGATTACTGGATGTTTCAATCTGCTGAAAAGAAGGGGCTGTCCCTGAACCAATGAAACAATGAGAGGGCAGGGAGGTGAGCCCATAAATCTGAAACACTTTGGAAATATAGTGCACATATCAACAAAAACTTTTAAAGGATTCAGTGGGGATTTGGTTCACATAAGAGATAAAATTATAAAACAAATTATATTAAGTAACAGGAAAGTTAAAACAAAGTCAGTATTAACAGTACAATACTTGGTTGCAATTTAAGGCGTCTTAATGAATCGTGTTTCCAAACAGTACAGGCCCGCATAAGCATGTGACTGTAAGAGAAAATAAGAGCAAGTAATCCGGGAGTGCACAAAAGTGCTTTTGTTTGTAGTTCTGTAGTCACTGGAAGTGCCTATTCTTGTGGTTATTCACAAACACCTCTGGCTCTTTCTTCCAGAAATCCTATCCAAACGTTTTTGTTCTGACTTAGAGGAGAACTTTGTGCTTTGGCTCTTTTTGTACAGTTCAGTCTTACGGCGTCCTTCCTCTGGCAAGGGCCTGAGATGGGTCCGATGCCTTAGCTGCCTTTTTATTTTATTTTTTTTTTTTTGGCAGAGTGACAAGCTGTGGGGCAATCTTTGCTCTCAGGGCCTGGGCACTTTCCTTTCGCTGGTTCAGCAGAGACCAACAAGAAGAGGCTGAGTCTGAGGAGTTAACCATGCATGGCTCGAGCCACCTGGCAATGAGCTCTGCAGGCATAGGAGGCAACCTTTCTGCCTTTATCGTGAACCTGAGAGCAATATAACCGTCTGGCTAGTTATAATTTAACAGAAACCCCGTTTTTAATCTTGCTGTGGTGGTGTGCTTTCTTTTAAATGTCGTCTGTAAAGTCTCCCAGTGAGCGGAGAAGTTTTGCTTTGTATTTCTTACAGATACTGACAAAAACTAGTCCACTAGGTTACCATAAACCTAGCCATATTCTTTCTTAGAGGCATAAGCAAGCTGAAAAGGGTTTGCAGTAACTTTTATACTTCAATCAAAGTATTTTTCAGTATATATTTTTCATTTTTAACCAGTAGACTAATTGACTGGTTATTTTATTAATGTTGAAATCTTACATTTTTAGAAGAGATATTAAGCAAGTAAATTAACCTTCAGTTTTCCCGTGGCACTGAAGCTTGTTCATCACCATTGTGCTTTCAGTCATTCTTTAAACCCTTGGTAATCGATAGTGGTAATTTCAAATAAGTTCAGATGTTTTGTTCAAAATAAACTGAGTATGCATGCATCTTCTGAATCAGCACCTTAACGTGACCTCTCCTGTCTGCTCAAATTATTAGCATCAAATAAAGTTCTTCAGACAAAACGAAGCTAGTTGAACGAATGCATAATAAAGATTAAAACAAATACCATGAGGAATAATTGCTGTCTTCGATTAACTTTTTCGAGATCATATATCTTAGCCATTGGAAAATCTTAAATACAATCTTCTTTAAAGTCCTTTCAAACTTTTTTGAGAGTAGTTGTCAGTTTAGGCATGCATCCCAACTTTAACTTGTACCTACGGTAAAAACATTACTTGCCCATAGATGGCAATAGCATTACATTGCTGAATTAGCCCCCAGCCTATGAAATGAGGGTGTGATGGTGGTGAACATTAACCTTGGGAATGGAGAAAAAATATCTTGCCTTTTTTTTTTTTTTTTTTTTTCCCTTGTCTGCAGTAGTGGCAGTGGGGACTGTTCTACTTGCAGGAATGTTGGGACTAATCATGTGAGAAACGATCCTGGAGTGATGAGGCAGCATATTTCCCATGTCTGAGGTCAGGATTTGTTCTGTGAAGCTGACCTTTAAAACAGCCTGAAAATGAGGAACGTGGCACCAGAGAGCAGAGCAGGAAGCATGAAATGATGTAAGATATGTCTCTTCTGCATATGAAATAATTTTTTTTCTAAAGCTCCAGGTTTGTGATTCAGCATTTTCTGCCACTGAGAGAATATAAGAACGGGGAAAATTCTGTAGCAAAAGAGAAAGTTCCTATTGTTCTAAGCGAAATCTAATAAAATATTAGGCATTAGATATTTTTGTTCCCTTGAATGGGGGCAGAGATTATATTTTTCCCAAATCACTCTTCCCTCAACCTCCTGATCTGAGACCCCTGGAATTGAAGACAAAGTTTTATTTAGGCACAGCCTGGACACCTTGTCTGCATGTAATGTGTGTGAAGTGCCTCCAGCTTTGTTGGCACTGGATTCCTGGGTAACTGCTGTTTCGACTCTGACAAGCGACTGCAGGACAGGCCTGCGATGAGGAAGCTCCAGGGTGCTGGTGCTGGGTGGGTGTTTGGTGCAGGACAGGCAGCCCCGCAGGACTAAAGCATCAGCCCTGGTGAGGTTGCCAGCCTGGGTTTGATCCCAGCTGCAAGGTGATGCAAGACCTCAGACGCAAGCCCCTCCCCTCTCTGAGCTTATGCAAAAGTGCCTTTACTGCCTTTTCTTCCTTATTTCTTGTCTATTTTTCCTGTGTCCTTTCTCTTGCTGAGATGGACGAGGCCTGATGCGCCTGTGGGATGCCCCAGCCTGTTGCTGCTGCCTCTCTGATCTGAGAAACCCTACTGACCTGTCTGGAAGGAGAAAGCGAGGAAGCCATTTCATCCTTCTCCCTCCTTGGAGACTGTTTGTGTGTTAGGATGGCATTTATCTCTCCTGTTAAAGGAGGTAGCAGCGATGGGGAGCACTCCCAGGTACTGGAGCTCAGCTGATGAGAGTGGTCCCTGGCATGGTGTTGGCCCACGCTATTAGCACTTCACAAAACAGTTCCCAGCTATGCACATAAAAAGTCTGACTGCAGTCACTCCGCTTTGATGGGTAAGAGAGTTCAGCAGTCTGGACACTGCTGCTCTGTGCCCATTGGCTAGTTTATCCCTATGGATGTGGCCTGGAGCAATCCGTGCTCAGAGCAGTACCTGCACAAGGACAGCTGCTTTCCAGTGTTGCATTACATCATGGTGAAGAAGCAGGGAGAGAGCCTTGTCATGCTTTCTTTTTACCTGCTGAGTTGACAGCACCAGTGAAGGTGAATGATGGCTGGTTTTTGGCTGCTCCAAATGCCAGACAGAAGGAAGCCTGCTTGCATCTGCCTCAGACTCTGAATAGATTTCTTTTTTTAAGAGTCCTAAGGGACAAGCAAATGGATATGAGCACGTACTGTATTTGTGAGACCAGCACTGGGATGGCTTGCGTGTTATAAATTGATGTTGAAAAATGGGTGGTGGAACATTAGAGCCACACAAAATGATTCAGAGCCTGCAGAAAATGCTTTGCAATGGGAGACATGAAGCATTTGCTCTCTCTACTTTATCAAAAAAGGCTGAGCAGGGAATTGATTATGATGGTGAAGGAACTTCCTTGGGAGAAAAATATCAGGTACTGAAAGGCTCTTTAATCTAGTAAATTATGGGAATGTGTTGCAGCAAGCTGAAACCAGATACATTCGTATGAAAAACTGGGCACAGATTTATTGGAATGAAGGTGGTTAATCACCATAACAAGCTGTCACGGTATTTGGCACATTTTCCGGATGTGTCCAAGACAAGATGGGCCTGCTTCTGATGGATGTGCTCTAACCACAGTTAAAAGTGTGAGGGACAGTGTAGTCAAGTCTCAGGCAAGGCAAGAAGGTGAGGTTTGAAGGGCTGTGATATGCGAGAGGTCTGAGTAACAGTTCCAAAAGGAACTGTGAAGATCTAATGGTTCCTGTCTGTCCTTAACCCCAGAGAGACTGAGAAAAACAGCACTTAGCAGGAAGTGGAAGGGAAGAATCAGAATGACAGCCTCATCACTGGCACATTTGTGTGCCCTCTGTTTCTGTAAGGACTTTTATCTTTCATCTGCTCAGGGCTTTACTAATGTTTGCTCTACACCCATCATGAGAGCAGCCTTTGTGCAGTCCACAAGCCCTCTGTGCAGATTGGCATTGCTGCCTTTCATCTTAGGAGAGCATGAGTAAAAATTTGAGATGCTCAGCGGCTCAGATAAGCAGGGGGGGTTTTTTATCCTTTTTTTTTTTTTTAGTTTCATCTTCTTCAACTTTGGACTTACCTGTCCTTCATTTGCCTGTTCACAGCTTCCAGTTTTCCTTGTATCCATTTCCTCATATTGCCTCTGCCGCCAGGCTCAGTGCACGCTGTGGTGTTGATACTCTCTAGTGCAGGATATCTTGGAGGCTTCTTCTTATTCATAATTTGACAAAACCAACCCTGTCTTTCTTGCACAGATTTCACACCGGATGGGTATGTCAGTGATGTGCTGTGTAGATAAAGAGCTTGTCAGGAACTTTTTAATAAAGTGCCTTTCATCCAGAGGTACAGATTTGTAGCTGCTGTGGCTATTCACAGGAACATGCTATTATACTATCTTGGCGAAATACCTGCAATCTGTATCTAGAAAAGTGCTCTAAGCTAATTTTAAAAACAAGACTTCTCTTCTGGAAAAGCAATTGGTGGTGGAAATCAAAAATTTATCATCTCCTGTTGCCTTTTCCAGGGTCCCGGTACTTTCCTGCTTATTCCGCATCTGCTTGGGATGATGCAAGTACTTTATTCTCTCAGACCCTAAGACAAGACTGCTGGTTTCTGCTTGTTCCAGAGGGTAATTGTGCACAAAGTCAGAGTTGAAACAAGGCAAATGATTTCCACATGATGTCCATATCTTCAAATTGGAGAGACATGGATTTGAAAGGTGAATTATTTAGTGGATAAAGCACTGGCTGGATGGGGGCAGCCAGAGAGTTGTGTCAGTGACTCCACTGAGCCTATGTCTAGGTGGAGGCTGGTGCTGAGGGATGTCCCTTGGGGTTCTGTCTCTTCAGTATCTTTATCTTTGACATAGTGAGATCGAGTGCACCCTCAGCAAGTTCACAGATGACACAAAGCTGAACGGTGCAGTTGACGCTCCTGAAGGATGGGATGCCATCCAGAGGAACCTGGACAAACTTGAGAAGTGGGCCCATGAGAACCTCACGAGTTTCAACAAGTCCAAGTGCAAAGTGCTGCATCTGGGTCTGGGCAGTCCCAGACATAAATACAGGCTGGAAGAACTACTTGAGAGCAGCCCAGTGGAGAAGGACTTGGGGGTGTTCTCATGGATGAAATACATCCTGGGCTGCATCAAAAGAAGTGTGGTCAGCAGGCTGAGGGAGGTGATTCTGCTTCCTCTACTCTCTTCTCCTGAGTCCCCAGCTGGAGTGTTGGGACTGGGATCCTCAGCGCAAGAAAGATATAGACCCAGAGGAGGGCCACGAAGATGATCAGAGGGGTGGAGCACCTCTCCTACCAAGACAGGCTGGGAGAGCTGGGATTGTTCAACATGGAGAAGAGAAAGCTCCAGGGAGACTCTGCTGTGGCCTCCCAGTACTTAAAGGGGGCTTATAAAATAAAGAGGGAGAGAGGCTTTTTACACAGGCATGTAGTGAAAAAACAAGAGGGGATGGTTTTAAATTAGAAGAGGATAGATCTGGATTAGGTGTTAGGGAGAAGTTCTTTACTATGAGTGTGGTGAGACATTGGACAGGTTACCCAGAGAAGTTGTGGATGTTTCACTCCTGGAAATGTTCAAGGCCAGGTTGGAGAGGGCTTGGAGCAACCTGATCTATTGGAAGGTATCCCTGCCCATGGCTGGGGGTTAGAACTAGATGATCTTTAAAGTTCCTTCCAACCCAAACAATTCTATGATTCTATGAAATGAAGGGGTAGAGTTGTCCCGTTGTCATGCAGTTTTTGTCAATACACACAACCCATTAACCTGGTCCATAGACTGTCTGGAACACAGAATTTAGAGGCAGATCAGAGTTTTCAACTGAGATTTCCAAATAGTAAGTGAGAGTCCTGAACTTATTTTTAAGTGGGGGAAAAAAGCTTTTATGAATAAGAAGTGTGTGGGGGAGGGAGATGTTGATTTGGGGTTTTGTTTGTTTGGGTTTGTTTGTTTTAGGATTTTTTTGAGGACATGCAAGCAGTTTTCCTGAAGCCCATATACCTCTGGAAGACAGTAGAAGTATCTGCATGAGCAAAGAGCTCCAGTACAGGGAAGTACAGAGGATGTAAGAAGAATAAGACTTTGACTGGAGAGATGGAAATGGCTTAGGCAGGCACCAGGTGAAGTCCTGCAGCAGCTGCTCTTCTTTGCAAAGACTGAGGCTGCAAACAGATCCAGGCAGGAGCTGACACAAACTTTAAGGAACATTCAGTTTTAGAACCCAAGACCCCATGTTTTAGGCTGAACTTGAACTATGGCTAAAACTTCTACAGAACTCTGGGGGAATGTTGCTTTTGACCTTACTCTGTAGCTTGGATTCATTTGCTTCATCACTGGCCAGATGAAGGTTATTC